GCTAGCCTTCGAACCCTCTGGATGCATTGGGTTTCCTTGATGAGATGAGGTGCCCAGACCTGGTTGCATTGTTATAGGTGGGCCCTAAATAGTCTGTTATCAGGCAGGATAAAGTCCTCTATTTTTCAAGTGGTCATTTTTTTCTCAACTGGAACAGGTCACCCTTCGTTTTTTTGCACTGCAGCTCCACATCGTCCATCTGTCTTGTAATTTTCGGAAACTACTTTTCCTAAGTCCTTCGTTTAGGCCACACCACGCCTCAGTGCTTACTCCCATTGAACCTCCCTCAGTATTCAACATTTATGCTTTGACGGTTTAAGTCTGGGCCCCACATCTGAGTCCAACAGGTGACCTTTGCTAGGTCTTCTTATGGTTGGTCTGACGGGTTTAAATTAACTATTTCAATGTCGCCGGCAAACAAGAAAGTCGGTATAGATAAATTCCTAACGAGGTCATCAGGGTTAAGCAGGAAAAGTATCGGGTCGAGGGCCGGGCCCTTAGGCAACCCATTGGTCATTTCCCCCCGTTTCGATAGAGCTTTTCCTATCCGAACCCTGAAATTCCACCTGTTCAGAAAAAACCCTTTTCCTAGGAAGGGCAAAACTATTGAGCTTTTTAGCAGTAATCGGTGGTTTACCGTATCCAAAGCCTTGCTACAGATTAGATAGCATACTTAGACCTTTTGACCTTCATTCAGTTTCCTGTGGACTTCATGTAGGAAGCCCAACTAGTTGCTGAGACATTACCTTCTTTTTGAGGAAACCATGCTGGGCTGCGGATAGTAGATTATAGCGCGCAATATGTTCACCTACTCACTTTATTAGCTATTATCCCAGGTTAGACTAGTCATCTTCTAATCATTCGGTATCCCTCCGAGTCTTCAGGATTCTCCGTATATTACACACAAGGGCGCCTCTACGGTTTGAAAATAGTCAGATGTAGTCCATCCCTCTCCGCTGATTTGTTAGACTTTAACTCCCTAACGTTTTCATGCTCGCTGCATTAGTGTAGGTGACCAGAAGCCCAAGATCGCCAGGATATTCGCCTTAACAGGGGAGTTTTAGTATCTTTCGGATTCCTTATCCTAGGGCTCTGGCCGTTTTTCTCCGAGGGCAATGCCTTCTTGGTTCAGTTTGACGCATCACCCTTTTTCTGCTCGGTTTTCGCGGTTTTTTTCCGAGCCGGCAAATCCGCCATAAATGTTCCACGGCGAATAAGTTATGGGCTCTTTGTACAATAACCGAATCAAAATTGAGTGACGCGTAGCCAAAATCGATACGAATCCCGAAATAAAACACGATTGATTCATAGTGTTCAATGGTACTGAATAAGGGAAATCATTACGAAATGTGCAATAAAGCAACCCTCGAATTTACGGCCAAAAGCACTTAAGCAAGCGAGCCAAATATGGTATCCAGAGAGAGGCAACAAGTCATTCACGTTCTCTGACCACGTCAACTTCCAATGTGTCGAACTGCTTCTTCGATACTATCAAAGGACCCCAGGAAGTCGTCCACATAAAAGTTATGTTTAACACAGGAGTCAACCGGGGTTTGGAAACGCTGAGCAAATTGATTCACGGTCGTTTTTCAAGCGAATTTTGCAGAGAAGGGAGAGGAGATCTCACAAACGGGTGCGCCGTTATCCAATTCTGCTGGGTAGGTCCATCTAGGTCTCCCTCTGGCCGGTACCACAACCGTAAAGCGTTCCTTTACCCTTCAGGAACATTAACCTGTATGAACCTTTGCTGGACATCAGCCGCTACCACAACTGACCCTAGACGAAATCTGCACAGCCCCTCAATCAACGGGATCGTCAAATCTGGGGCTTGTAGTAGACGGTCGTTTAGGGCAATCCCGTCCCACTTGGCAGCACAATCGAAAACAACCCTGGTCTTCTGAGGTTTCTTACAGTTTATAACTGGGTGGTGAGGAAGGTACCATAATGGTTGCTCTACTTCAGCTAGGAACTACTCCCTCTGTCTCGATTCAGTGAACTCCTCCAATACGGACCTGGGGACTCTAGCTCTCGTGCTCCCAGACTGTCATTTTCCTGGATGCATTATTCTTTTGATGGCAATATGGTCTGGCACGTTAACAAACCTAGGCAAGATTACCACATGGTATATCATTGCTCGCGTCCTCAGGCTCTTCTCTTGCATAAATGGTTTGATCTTTCATGAAACTTCGTTCGAAGATACTTGGTTCCACATCCAGCTGAATATTTTTTATCAAAAATGAAATACTGTTCCGAATTCCACCAAATTCCAGAATGATTCTTGAGAGAGAAGTAAAGCCGGTGTCTTCGACCTTAATCATTTATTTGACACTTGGTCGCTGGTTTTAGTCATAGACCTCCACTAATGACACCTTGACATGCCATTCGTATTGTCCATTTAATGCAAAAAATGTTGTATGTTGTTTGACAAATTACATTCCGCAAGTAATTAAGTAAGTATTTTTAAAAATGGCATATAAATTCTGGAAGTAAGTGTGGTCCGAAGGTGTACGATTCAGCACACACCATGGGGAATTGTGCAGTTAATACAAGGTCTTTAAAAGCCTGACAAAAGAATAAGCAAAAGTAGGCTCAAGGCGGTGGGAAGGTGCTATTTTTATTAAAGAAATTTTCCTGAAAGTGCTGCATTGCCATTTTTTGGCGATGGTTAATAACTTTGGTGGTCGACAGGGTAGATTAGCCAAGCCTTAAAAGGTAGAATTAACCTGTCTTGTTACTATAAGTAACAAATGTCAGTTTAGATAAATTTTGGTCAACAAATAATTTAACCTTGTCGGTTCTGATAAGGTTCTGAAAGTCCTTAAAATTAAACATGAAAGTTGAGCACGTCGTAGGTACAAGCAAGTGTTACCGGCTGACTACTTATGAGTAATATGACTGCGCCCTTATACAACGAGTAAGTATCAAGGCTTTACTACATTTATNTATATATATATATATATATATATATATATATATATATATATATATATATCATTCCTATTTTTAAAATTATATTTTCACATCAATTTTAATGCTGAGTGTCGATAAACGGGACTATTATAGAGTATTCAGAATCTGATAAATACCTGAATATACCACGAAGGCATGGATTTCCTTCATATACTTTGAATGTAGTTTGAACAGAATGGAATAAGGTATTTTCGCTGCTTTACAAAAAGGGCAGAGGTGACCCGTTTATGCGAAATCCAGAATACACCCTGCGAATAAAATTCAGCTACTCATAAGTAGCGTAGTAAAACCAATAGACGGAATCATAGTAAAAACCTGAGAATAATAACAAATCTTATTGCGAATATTCTACACAAAGTAAACCTTCCATCTGCAGGATTCTTCGTCACTTGTACCTGTTCTTCATCTTCAATGTCACAGATGAAAAAAACATATGTGACATTTATAAAACTGTTGTAGAAACAAAAGACATTTTGATTGTAGAAGATAAAATAAGATCATTTTTATAACCGTTGCGCTTGAACAAAATGGTTATTGGCTACAATTAAGAGAGTGGGGAAATACACGGATCACCTCTTTTCCAGTTTTATTTTACAACCGTATCATCGAAAGATAAATCCAGCACATTTATTGAATGTCCGCATGCACATTTCCAACTTTTGAAGTGCAGCTTTTTATATTGAAGTAATTCCGTCCATGTAATCTTTCCTATTTTAACAAGCAACAATAAACAGGTATCAATCTACACCTAGCGGACGGTCTAGTCCTCAATGGATCGAATTCACATGTGGATCCCATTTTTTGACATATTACATCATATAAATTTCGTATTATAAAGCAAATATGATTATAGCAAATTTAGTTGAGAAGAGAACATATTAAGCATGAACTGAAATGCTTTGAAGCAATTTGCAGCTGTTCCGACCCGGTTGGGTCTCATTAGTAGTGTGGATCCATCGACGTAAATGCGGATCGAATTCGGACCTCATGCGTAGAACGCCAGCGTACTGCTAGCTGGATCATCGGCAACCTGATCTTTTTTGTATAATCGACTTACGTTCATCATTGCTCTTATTTGACTAGTAATCACGTTGGAATGTTTCCAACCGACCAATAACTCTGGAAACTAGTATTGAGACGAGGGGGATTTGATGTGCACAACAAACTCCCAGGAACGCATTGTGTATATGAACAAAATGAAAATCCATTTCATCAATTGTCGGGGGTCAAATGGGTGGTGTGATTTGGCTCCACCTGTGAGGTCCCGGGTTGAATCCTCAGTTGAGCCGATGGATTCATATCGCTAATAAGACCCAATCAGGTCGACAGATGTAAATTGCTTCCTTACTTTTCAGTTCACGTTTAATTCGCTTTGTGTACAAAGAAATTTACAACATAATCAAATCAACTCCATTACTTTGAAGAAAAAATATTTTTCAAATTAATTCAGTATAAACCTGTGAGTGTTCCGAACTCAGCTGGTCACTGCACCTTAACGTCATCAACTGTTGTTGTTCGATCAGAACAACATACTGATGTGCGAAACTGTTTATTTTGTATTGGAATACTAGCTTAAGAACAATGGCTAACCCTAAAGGATTTGGAAAATTTCTAAAAAGAGCAACATTTGGGGGTCAGTCTTCAAGCGTCCAAATGCTTAAGTATTGTTCTCGACCCGGGTATTCCAGTATGTTCTTGATAACTTGCTTAAACTTAGCCGTTTATGAAATTGAGTTAAAAAAACTAAAAATTCACTACGGTAATAGCTGTCACCATCTTAGGGCTCCAATGTGTTTCGGTAATGGTAAATTTATCGGCTGTTCTAGCGTTGAGCGGTATTGTTGATCAATTTCTACTTATTTGCAACGTTCAAAAAAATTTGAATTAGATATACGGTCAGAGATAAACCTCAAATTTAGACTCCTGATAAACTGCTGATGTATTAAGAAAGCAAATATAGGTACTTACAGGGAGTTTGAACCAATGAGCTCAACAAAGCACAGTAATATTAAAGAGAAACGTTGTTCTCAGTAAATGGGCACAGTTGAACTTGATCGACATTTTATAGTCGCCTTGATGATTTAACGAGTAAGAACGACGATAGATGGCTAGACAGATTTAATATACACAAGGTTTATATTGGTCTTTTGTTGAACATGAGTCAATAGTTAACATGCTTCGATTTTCTTATTTCTGATTAAGATTTGTTCTTTCATAACGCTGACCACTTTTGAGTTGTGTGATTTGTTATGGTATAAAAGAATCAAACGAAGCAAGTTTCCAATTCGGTAATTTAATCACTCTCCTTTGAGCTCAATTTTCCTTTGGATGGGGTTGAAAATATTTTCCCATAAACAGAAAATCCATTCAACATAACCTAATCATGGCTTATCCATGCACTGAGTAGGACCGTTATGCATCAGAAGGAAAGCCATGCTTCGCTTATCCACCGCATCTGGGCTATGCAAACCAAAACTCCCATAGCTCTTCATAAACGAAGGTATTTTAAAGATGGAGGGTGCTATCTGATGACCTGCGTAAACGATCCGATCTCTTATACCCCGTGCTTATTGATGTCCCGGTATGTATCAGGAAGAGCGACCGATTAGTTAAGGGAAAGTATATTGTTTCCTGAAGGTACCGGAGTTTTAGCCTGAGTACGCTCGAGAGTGTCTGAAAGCAAAGAGATTAACAAGTGAAGGTGTAGCACTGAACTCACGCACCGTTTAAGGTGAAGTTACTTCAGCGGAGGTAGCAGTGATTTAAACAAAGATGAAAGACCTAGCTGAAGAAGCGGTCTCAGAATATCGAAGATCCTGGCGGAATCTACGCTACAAAGGAGAAGGATGCACGAGCGAGATGCTTCAAGCAATCAATGCCTGCAACCATGCGAAAGCATACATGCGGAACAGGCAAACCAAAGATGGTGACAACTCTCTGTAGCATATTTCACTGTCGGTTTGAAGCCACTACAGTGTCAAGGTAATGTGATTGATGAACTTCTAGGGCTTTCAAAGCTAATGGACTGGTTTCCACCAAACATTTTTTCACATCAGTATCTTCGAATAAAATATCGAATGCAGAATCAACCGAAATTAGATGAACTACCAACCGTATTGTCCGTTATGGATAAAATCACGTCCCGCCAAATGCTTTTACTGCTTAAACACTTTGTATACTTCACAAATTTAATTGATAAAGTTAAGGAGGAAAATTGAGGATAAAGTGTACTGGAAAAGTACTCGGTTTGGGGAGGATAAAAGGATTAATTGGTGGTTTGCAATCATCTGTGGTTTTGAGGGCTTAACTCAACAACTAGATAGCTGTGTGATTCGAGTGCTATCATCAAATTATTTTCTTAAGAGCAAATAATAAACACAAACTTTGGGAATCTGTGGTAATCAGAATAGTACTGAATGTGGGAATACGAGAACCCGTAATGTACTGCTCAGAACTGAATTGGCTCTAACCTGAACTGCGAATACCAATGAAATACACGAGGAATTGATAGCAGCCAATGCTTATGTTTATTGATGGAATTAGACCATGTTTTATAGAATGTAATAGTCCATATCATTGGTTGAACGAGCATCCTCTAATCACGTAACCGTTTGCACCGACGTATCATATGTGCTAACTCGGATGTCATGTTCGCCCGGTGTACCATTGGTCGAGCTTCCTGAAAGGGGATTGGATGACATGAAACTGTACCTAGTCGTGCATGGATTGCGGTCTGGATCACCACAGAATCACGGGTTAACCTATAAGGATACTGTAATACGTTTTATGTACCATTGGTTGCCAATTTTTCAAGGATTTGTGAGTTCAATTACTTGCATCCGATGTATAGATATTTCTTGGTGCCCTAATTGCTATAACCTCACAGAAAGTGGCCATGTGTATCGTGGAGATCAGGGTGAACGTTAAACTGACTACTCTGATCAGATTTGGATAAAGGAATGATAAAAATTCGAATTCTATATCATTCACCCAATCAATTTATATTCTACGCGCTTCAGACCTTTACAGGCTAACTTGTCTCTTCTGGCCTACATCATCACTCGAGCCCCAGTGGTTTGGAGCCGGGCACTCAATCAGTCTGTCGAAATGGATGTCGCCTGGTCGTTGGCTAACTGCCTTGAAGTAATGGTAGCCCATCGGTTGCGTCTAGTTACCAACGGACCGGATTGGTCTACGGTGCTTCGCGAACTCGATGATGCCGGAGTCAAGTGGCCCAGCTTAGTTCAAACTTGCTGGTGAGCAGATACATTTCAAAAATAGGTTATGTCAAATTTCAACGATCATAAGATTTCATCCGGCAAGCTGAAAGATGTATTTTATGTTTCTTTATTTTCGTTCATCATTGCTTTTTCAATATTCCTTTCTGAAAAATCTTTAACTTAATATATAGTTTGTGGATTAGCAAATCATCACAAGAGAATAACCGTTTGAAGTCATCTGGAATCTCGAGGGAAGATTGGTGTAATGGAATTTACTTGAGTAACAACTTACTGAATAGCAATGAAAGAGGATAAAAAACACTAGATAAAACTCAATTACAAACAAATCGTAGTCGAACTTCAGGTTAACTACCAATACCCATCACAATGCACAAACATCCAGGAATAATAACAACCCAAGTGTTTTCTAACGTGCCTAATAGGAAGGAGGACGGACGGACGTTAAACAGAGTCAGGTATTTCGAGTTTTATTTCCCTTGATTTAGAGCTCTTGAACTATATTGTAATAGGGTGTGAAGAGTTTTGATCATTCAGGATTTCTCATTTTTAATATTTATTTATCTAAGTATCTTAACCTAAAAGTCGCAACAAGCTCGTATGCGATGGATATTTTGATCACTTCTCCGATTGTTCTATCAGTACGTATAGGTAATCAAGGTTTATAGCGGCAACCAATGTATGGGTGTTCTCATCGCGGGATAAAGCCATCGCACATGAAGTAATAAGATGACGGGGTTACAGGGAAGGTTGGCCAATCTGCTAATTACTCATGTGATGTTTCTTCGAAACGTGGGTAATTGTACGAAGTTGTTAGCTATCAGCAGAACAGCACGATCCTAATCAAACCAAAACATGCTTCAGCAATGGTATACATACATATATATATATATATATATATATATATATATATATATATATATTCACAGAGATGATTGACTACTGCCGCACGGCTTACATGCATGGCGATGGTGAGTTTCCTTCTGTGAATAATGTGCTGCTAAACCTTCTGTGACCTAAGCAGACCAACACACGCTAGTACTAGTTGAACATGCGTATCCAAATGGTGTCGCGTTGGGACACTCGCTGTAATCAACCATGTGAGATAGAACTTCATCAACACAAAATCCCATGAATCACCTGTTCTGTCTGCGAATAGGATTTCAATTGACGTTGAAACTATCATAATAGCATCCAAACAATTTCATTATGGTATAAGAGTATATATAGTACTCCTGAATTTCCGTAAGGTCGATAAAATGTTGCTATTGTGATACGAACATTGTCAGAAGTATGCTTGCGGGAGACAGATATGAAAGCATGCCTGACTGTTAAGGTTACACTTCCCGACCTTTTGCTTTTGCTACAAAACAACTTAACTAAATCTTCCTAACTGGATCTAGTATTCTTGTTACTTATCAATCAATAATATCAGTCCCATTCTGTTGAACAAATATGCCGATATCCCAACAGCCCGCATCTCGCTACTGATGTTGTGCCTTGTAATACATGTTGTTGTAAACTGAAAAAAACCAGCGATGTTTATTGTCCCAGCTCAATATGTATACCCTAATGCTTTCCTCTATTCTTAGCGAACTGTGCACACTCAGTCTATCAGACAGTTCCGATCCCGGTTCTAATTCCTTGGTGACAAAAGAAAACGCGGAATTGTCATCGTCTGTTGCCTTTGTTGGTGAGGATTCGAACCCGGCCGATCTAACCCAGAAAAAATCCCATGTTGAAAGACTTACGGATATTGCACTTGGAGCGGACGCGGTGAAATTCCCGGACGCGCATCGATGCGAGAATGGAGCGCGAGCTTTGGGCTATCTGTTAAGAATCCTGGAAGCTGGGTTTATTCGTGATCAGAAGGTGATCAACCAACTATTTGAGGTATGCCTAATCCGATGCAGACAACTCTTTTTTGTTTTATCCCTGACGTGGGTGGAGGGTATGTGATCATGAACTGGAACAAACAGAAGTGCAGTTTAGGCCCGACGGAGAAATCGTGATCACATATGAGCCATTATTCGCATAAAGTTCAATCAGAGAGTTGACCTAACGCACAAGGTGGACCTGCAGCTGTTGATTTTTAGATTAGTTGTCTATATTCCTGTTTTAACTCTATCAAAAGATATTCACCGGATTTGACATTGCCGCTTTTTATTAATTTTCTTCCCGATATTTAGTTAGTTTACTTGGGTGATTATTCCTACAAGATTTCACGTGCTACATAGCGTGATACACTCGAATGGACTAGTTAGATTCCATTGCCATTGTCTTATAGTGTTCCACACCCAAATAATCACTCATTTTCTTGATTCAATCGAATGTGGTCGTTGTGATGAGCAATTATCGCATGGTTGATCTCTGGTGGTGTCAAAACTGATTCTCCGAGGGCTCTGGTTATCAAGAATGTTTTACGGAGATTGTTTAATCCAATCTCCGATTTACTCACTTATTGTGTCCCCAAGGAACTCTCAGACCGATCTCTCCTCTGCTTAATACAACTTGATTACATATATGCTATTAAAATTTACAATATATATATGTTCCTTTTTTGTATATGATTTTGTCAGCATTCATCGATTAATCCATTTTTCGCCGCTGAGTTTTCAATGACTAACTCTTTTTGTAAGCCGCGGTCAAAGTACCGAGATTTTTGGAAGAAAAATCTGTACGTAAATCAATCTAATTTGCAACAAAAAACTTCACAAAAGGAAACCTTACGGCGTGGTACATCATGACTTGTTGGTGGTGGTAAAGGCCACTAGGTAAAACGAAAGCTCTAGCACAGCTTTATAATACGTAATTATGCTCAAGGTTTTTCCGAAGTTCTTTTTCTTTTCTTTTCATTTTTACTTCCTTTTATTGAATATACAAAGATAATTTTCAGGAAGGAGAAAGCGGCCGATCAAAGGGCTGTCATTCAACACACAATAGGAAAAGCCAGGCAGTGGTGATGGGATTTGAACTCATATCCCCGGGGTGATAATTCGGTGTGGTTACCACCAAGCCACCACCGTCCAGTTAAGTAGTCATTGCCAATCGTTGGATAGGTATTGTAAATGTGTTAGTAACTGAGGTCGTACTTTTGCATTCATTATCTGGAGAAGAATAAACACACCTGTCAGATACAATTGGAACGATTAAGGTCACAGTATATCTGCATCTTTGACTCAGTTGTGTTACTTGGCTGCCCAGTAACAGTCACGTGAAAATTTCTCACACGAATAGGAAAGACACAGGGAGAAATTTCATATTATACTGAAACAATAATAATTCAATGTCTACCGTCAAATGAAGTAATACTGGCAGCTGAAAACGCTGTGAACTATATTCTAACTGGTCACATTCTCTTTTTCGATTGAGAAGGCTTTCTGTTTTTTTTTAAACGAACACCAACACAACTTTTGCACGAAGAAAAAAGATTGGATTCAGAGCATTCGGGAAGATCAAACCGCCAAAGAACATTGGTTTGGATGTGGTAGACAGGTTTGCAAACAAACAATCGATCACATTTCACCCGCTTCATTTTCTGCATCTGACAGGTACACATTTGCGTTTATTGAACGTTCAAATAATTATTCACACCTCTGGACCTATATTTTCAATAAGTGAAGTGATAACTTTGTTCACTAAAACAAGAAACTTTCTCCTTGTGCTCATTGGCGTAGGTAATTTTCACGTAACTCGTGATAGGCTCTCAAGTCACGTATCTGGATCTAAACTTCAGCTATACCGTGATCTTATGCGCAAGGACTGTATCGGAAGTCGTGGTACTTCTGCCATAAACCGTGGGTCTTAAAGTACAGGTACTGGCTACCAAGTGACGATAAAACATTTGGAACAGAAAATGAGCGTTATCACTGTTTCCACTACCACAAGCAACGCATCTTTCGCCTTCAGAGATGATAACGCGCACGGTCATACTTCGGTATTTTGGCAGTAATTTAGTGGCAAGATCAGTAAGATATAGTCATTCATCAGGGTTACATGGTAAATAGTTGACTAAAAGTGCGTATTACTCTCATTTACAAACATATGGCATTACTGAAAGAACACATCACTTGAAATCACACAACTCACTTTATTCAGGCAGTATCTACGTTTGATAATAAGCAATATGTGAATGACTGGACGGCAAAACCGGTCGTGTGCTTCCAGGGAAATTTTGTCCAGTCATTCACATAATACTTATTATCAAATATTCTACCAAGACCATCAGGTCACGTTTGTTGCGGTTAGTAGCATCCAACCCACTTACAAAACATCGAATCATAGCATTGATTCTTCATTGGACTGGCTGTGAAAGAGCTGTCTATCCAACGGTTACTCGGTGTTGCAAACAAGGTTATTGTGACGAAAAGTATCTACGTTTATTTCTTGTAGCTCGCCTTTGAATGGATAGAAAGTTAAGATAAAATTGTTTTATATTACCCATGCAGAATGAGAATTATTCCCCACCTTATCGACGTTGGTCAAACGTTTAAGGTTACCCACTCGTCATTCACGGGTAGTTTGTTAGAATCCCACCACCGCAATAGTATAACATCACTCATTTCCCCGTGCATCATGTAGCAGCTCTTTGATTGGCCATTTCCCTGTCCTGAAAATTGCTTTTAATGATACAGGAAAAGGGCTAAAAGAATAAAGGATGACAAATCCATTCATCATCATCGTCATGATCAGAAACGATAGAAGCGAAAACGGCGGCCAATCAGATACGGTGAGACCTAGAATCATCATAATAAGCTCCAGACCCATCGCACGGAAATCACGTGTGTTACTCCTGTGCCGAGCATATGACCGGAATGGCCGAATCATGTTTGTTCAGATATTGGAGTTAATGGATAGTATACTGTTTCTCCATTCGTTACTCTCGGGTCAGAAGAAATAGCCGAATATTTCTGATGAAAACGTCGAAAAAAGAATTGGCAATTCGTTTCAGCCCCGATGTGAAGTGGTTAGTGCAGCAGTAAAACAAGCCGTTCATGCGAAAGGTCCGGACCTCAAAGCCTAGAAAGGACGGTGGATATGCACTGCTTCCAGGAAGTACGGTTGAACAGACGAAATGAAGGTTGCACGGGAAGATTGACTCCAGTGGATTAGTAACTGAATTGAAAAACGCTTTTTTCACGCCACTACTTACAAGCAACTATCAGTTTAATTCAATGGAAAAATGATGTCTCATTTATCTTATTCATTTTCATATTTCAAGTCCATGTGTGAAGCGATGATCACCAACAAGGTCAGTAGTGCGGAGAAAATTCGTTGGAATGCCAATTTTGCCGTTGGTCACTTGTTTCAAAACACTGAACTGTGGACATGGTTATCGAGCCAGTGGACCGGGGCTCAACAGAAAACATTTGCAGATCCACTTGCTTCGATGGAGACGGCCGAATTGATTAATAAATTGATTCGGCATTTGTGCTATACTTTCGGACGAGACAAATATTTCAAGGTCAGTTATACTATCAACTGGAACTTCGGTTCTGTGCGCGTGCCTGCGTGGGAGTGCATGTCATAGATATGTGTGCGTGTGTGCACTAATATCGATTAGGTACTTTTTTGTCCAATTTTGGCCATTTTTCTCTGCTAAATTGCAAAGTGAATAAACAAATTATCACTATATTGCACAGTACACTTTGGTCCAATCAATGTACCGTAATTAGGAAGTGGCGATTTTACATGTTCCCACATTCCTAAATACATTTTATAATTACAGTTGTTGTTTTTTCACTTAGAGTATAAAATGTACCCACTTTTGCTCTGATCACTTCTTACAGCCCAACTACAATTTGTCTCTCTCCCATATTGCACCTAAGTAACTTCTAACACTCCCAGGTGACTCATTTGATATGAAGGATACGCGATTCATCGGTCTCCTGAGTAAACCTTTGTTGGATGCGTCTTTTTTCAAAAAAACTTGCCGAAATGCCAGCTCCATCAGTAACAACGCATTAGACCAAACGTTACGAGCCCTGCACATTATAAACTCAGCGAATATGCAGCAGTCATGATTCTGAACTAAGATGAGGTAACAGTACAGCTCCCAACTCATTTGAGTGGTCTATTCCATGTATTGACATTTCGTGGTAACTCTCTATTAACCGTCTATTCTCCTATTACTCTAAAATTGAAAAATTATGACCCCTGTCAAGATGTGGGAAATAACAGTAACACAACTGTTTTCTCAAACCCTATTACTGATGTTCACAAAAGCCATCTGGAACGCTGCCCAGTAAGCAGTGCTGGACTCGACTTATGGTAAGCTAAACAGACAAACGTAATTGACAAACTAAAGTGAGTACTGATATTAACAACTAAAGAATGTGAGCGAAACACCAACGTGAGGGTTATATCCAAGATGTCGTTTTTCGGGGATTCATTTCACCTGTTGTATAGATCAAAGTACGTAAAGTTCATTGATCCTGTGGATATTTAATATGTGTATTTCAGATGAGTGTTGGCAAGAAAGATTCGTATTAATTTTAAGGGAAACAAGAGGTTCGACATTCATCTTCTAGGCCACTGACTGAGGGACATTCATATTTCATAATATCTCAGTGTGATAATGATCCTCTTGTTCAGTTCATCTGCTGATTCGAGTCGTGGTATTGCAAAAAGAGTGGCTTTGGTAAGCACTATGTCTTCCAAACATTGTTATTTCGCTAATTCAACGGGGCGGTTTTGATTCACAGATGAGCGGATAAACCGTGCCCTAAACACTAATCAACTGAAATCAAATTATCATCCACATCTTAAAACGCGTATCTAGTTTTCTTGTACCAACGGTAAACACCTCGTCATAATCATCCCTAACGGGAATACGTTTCCATGATTTTATCGATGCGGGTCAGATGATATCGTAAGCTCATTTCATGTAAACTGAAGGTAAGGCTTAAGAAACAAATCAATGCGAAGTCGTTATTTGACCTCCATTGGATCTATAACATGGAGAAGTTGTCGGCATGTATATCTGATCGATCGATTTATTCCACTTCATCATATCTTGATTTTTTCTTCCGTTGGCATCAAGGTCAATTTATTTTTATTTGCATTTGGTCAATAACAATGGGTTCTGTTTCTCAATTAAATAAAAAGCTCATACCAAGTATAATCTATGTCAGCCACCCTCTTGGGTATAGACTGTATTGTGGGTTAATTTTCAACCTTTCTCCTCAATAAATAAGATAAATGTCCTTTTTCTTCCTTTTTATTTATTGAATATACAAATGTACAGTCAACATTCAGGAAGGGGGGGGCCTCGACCGTACAAAGGCTGCCTGAGGAGATGGGCGGTGGTGGAGCGGTTCGAACCCGGCATTTATAGGTCACAAGTTGGTGATCTGCCCACTTGACCATCACTGCTCATGTCATGTTGTAATAAGAAACCTATGCGACAAGTGTTTTTATTTCATAATTCATTTCAGTTATCAATAATTACTGTGCTGAGATGAACGAGATGCGACGCTCACAAAGCTGGTTTGTGCCATATGGCAAAATGGCAAAATGAAAAACGGTCTGATCAGATGCTCGGTGGTCAAATGCGTTCTTTGAATGAAGACCCGGGTTCGGTTCCTAGCTAGAACGATGTATTTGCACTGCTGTTGAGACTCAGCCGGGTCCAAATAACTGTAAATGGCCTCCTAGCTTTTCATTTAGCGCCTCATTTGCTTTGCACACGACAAAATAACTATTGTTTCAAAGCCAATGGTGCCTATTTTTTCCAAGGATTAGTAAAACGAACCATATTCGTGATGCTGTCATTTAGTCAACAATTTTCCGGTTCCGTTTGGTACAGCATATTTTCTGGCGATTTAGGAATGTGATTGCTTTGATGTGGTATTTTTATTTGCCAACCAGAAGTTGATCAACTTTGGGTCCGCTTGGTTTTCCCATAGTTGAAGACTAAATCTCGGGATGCTGGAAGTGCGCTTTAGTCCAATGCAAAAATTCTTGTTTAGATTAACAATGAACCAGATATCTGAATGTCGTACATCGGGACAAGTAACTTCAGTGTCATGAATGATGTCTACACCCAAGGTAGCACGCGGGGCCTGGTTGCTAACACGCGGTTAACCCAAACCGCATAAAATTCTCACACATGTTTACTTCTCTTCCTAGTCGTTCGTTGTGCCCTCTGCAGAGCAGTATGACTAAATCACCGGATGTTTTAAGTTGAACGCCATCTACTTTCTGAACGGTGATCGTTCTATTTTATATTCGGTGAGAGGACGTAAGTAGTTCCACTGTCATTACTACTTATGTTCTCCTTATTATCGTAAAATATTTTTTGTTTCACAAACTAGTCAGTTTCATGATGGTAATGTTGTTCTGTGTTCAGTGTTCACAATGTTATGCATTTGCGGAAGAGGTATTCCAATTAAACAAAAACAAACGATGGAATTGTGGGTGTGACAAGAAAATAAGTGTGTCTGAAAAAACACAGTTTTGAAGGGCGTGTATTAGGTGGAAAAAACAGCGAAGTGGTCAGTGTACCATCTGTGAAATACTGAGAAAAAGGGTTCTATATTATGCTCGAGACTTGTATAATACCACCTCTATATACCCCACCTGGACTACCTGTAAAGAGCGTAGGTAGCACTGTGAATTGATTGTAACCGCCCTCTTTCTTTTTGTCTTTTTTTATTCGAGGTTAGTTTACGTCTTTTCACAGTTGGCAGATAGTTATTCGGTTATCTGACTGTCCCATTCACATTCATAGACCAAGTGTACACGTGCACCCAAATGTGGCCTTTGGAGTGTTGGGTGTTTAAGGCACCATCCAAAACTTTTTATTTGCCGCCTAATTCTAACTGGTCCCGGCTATTTGACCACGATTTTTTCTACCAGGTCGATGTTACATTTCAAAGACGAGAGGGAGAGAGTTAGATCTCCCCACGTTTGCTCTATAGGTGTGCATCAAACATTCGCTGCACATCTCTTCCGTTGACGAAAGGGTGACTTGCATATAAAGAGGTCTTTTTTCGCACTCTGTTTTTCCTAAATCCTCAGAACGAATTAAGAAAATTTTCACGATAACAAATGAACCAAAATTGTAACTTTGAGTGCCTTACCAAAGGTAGAGGAGGTGCTGTAATCCATAACAGATACAACCCCGGATCCATCAGATATAACTGAATTTTGAACTTTTCATTACAAGTTAGATAAAGAATCTGGTTAAATTTATCAATTTTCTGGACCACGAAATTTTACGTGGACTGAGGAACTGAAATAGTCATATACACTGGTTAAATATGGCGTAAATATGGTGTATTGGCACCAGCCCATAACTCCGTTAATTATCCATGTCTGGTAAATACTCATGTGATATTTCTTTCACACTTATCAACCCACGCACTAGTAAAACGAAGCTGAATGTGACCGGTAGTGAAACTAATTGTTTCAGCGTTTCTCGCTCATGACCGTTGTAACCTGCAAACTGATTGACTACTCCATTGGTTCTGTGTTACGATATTATGCGCCTTTGACAAATATTGTTCTGTTACGAACTGTTATGGTGCACCGGTTTGATTTACTTGTTTGACTTTCCTTGAACTCATTCTCATAGTGTAGTAGGTAGTTTGCTTCCTGTGCTTATGTTGTTTACACTAATACAAGACTGCATATGAGTACATATAACATATACGTATATATGTATATAACAAATATATATGCATCATATTTAGAACACAACCGATTTGTCCACATAGCCACACTTTTCAGCAAAGCGCTTGCATGGCACGTGTGAAATGAACGATGGCTGTCTTTTTATTCATTCAAACAGCCGCAGAGAATTGTGGCCACCTATCTTCAGTCTATAGCTTGACACGATAAACCACAAGAACAGACGAAACCGATTCCTATGTGGAAGGACCAATTTTGATTTGTAACCAATTTGTGTTCTCTGACCCAGTTTTACTGTGAGATGTGGTAATTTTTTTATGAGAATATACAATTGATAGGTTATCATCTAATGGAGAAATATATGTGAGAATAGATGTGATATGAATGAGAAATGATGTGAATTATTATGCAGTTGTTCTATTTCTGCATGGGCTAAACTATCAAAAAACCAAATTATATATTATTTCCCGGAGTATACCAGCGACATATTGAATTCATTCAATACATATTGTTTATTGATTTATAATTTATCCTGTTTCTTTTACTCTACCTTTATCCTAGGCCCGGGTGTACGCAGCAAATTCATTACTGGGTCTATTTGTGCATCGATTACCGGTGAATTCCGAGATTCTTATCAATACTCTTCATTCTTCACTGATCCACACTGCTTCCAAATCAACCAGCCGCGATGTGGAATTTCACATTTTGGATGCGGCATTTCACATCGTTCGAAACGTACACGACGGCACGGCATCCATGCCGTGCTGTACCGAGTTCCTTCACTCAGAATCAGTAATGCATTCTAACTTTTACTCAACCGGATCGCATCTTTCTGAATCGAAATATCGTCAGCAATGTCTTCATTTGGCTGTGGTACTCATTTTCTATGCTCTAGGCAGTTGGTTGCATCAGTGCACAGATCCAGAAACGCTTGATCGACTAGAAAGCTGTCTGATCACCAAGTGGCTGTGCCCGGTTGTATTGAATCACTTGGATGGACACATAAGAGCCTGTGCCCGCAATGATGATTCATCCATTGTGAATGATTGCAAACATGAGACCATATATCCCAGACCGATGATTCTGAGCCATCTGCTCGAACTGACTGATAACACATCACCTTCAGAACGGTTGCAACAAGCGGTGGAACTTTTTCAATCACACTTCTCCTCTTTATCGTGTACCGTGGGGCCCGGTCTAAAGCAACTTGTCCAATTGACCCAAAACGTGAAGGGTATGCCAGACGCAAACGCATACTGCATCGATGCTATGTGGAACAGTTTGGACGAATTGCAGAAAGCCGTAACAATCGGACCGATTTTACCGGATATTTCAAAATTCCGCCAAATTTACGACTAATTCTAAGTGTTGTCCAATGCGTAATTCAATCTCGCGGTATTAGCCCTTCTCTTGGGGCTGGTCGCAATCTTACCTTGTCATCTAGATTGCTATTTTCCTGTGTTTCAACAATCGAAAATAGATTTCACTCTCGAATCTTATTGTGAAAGATTCATCGAACAAAAAAACAACTTCAATGTTTTCATCCGATAATTATAGAAAAGTGCCTATTTGGAAAAGCTATCCCGTTGTTTCAGTGATCAAACGTCACTTGATTGATATGGGGAATATGTATGACAGAAAAAATAATGGAAATTGTATTTTACTCTGTGGATATATTTTGTACTTTGTGCAGTTTGCATAATGAAGAACGATTCGTGTCATTGGGGTAGCAACTGTGATAGTGTTCCGACACAGGTGAAAGCCGATGAACACTGAGTCGATAGGATGTGCTATTTAACGACTACAGCAGATCGCGGTTGTTCAATCCGCATCGAAGTCCTAAACTTGGGTGGACTTGCTAACGGACAAACTTCTTTAAAAGATAAACACAACATCTTAGGGGATCGTGAAAATAGGACAATCGGACGTATCAATCTTCAATTACCACGACCCTGATCTAAGCAATCACGAAAGTTGATTACACTAGTTTATGTTGATTTTTTTGCCTCACTTGTGATTGTACATTTATGGTGCCTAAAAGAAGAAATTGAAGTCAATAGGAAGAGTAGGGTCGTATGGTATAACGCCAGTTTGCTTGAGGAAACTGATATTTATTCAAGTCTCTGACTCCGACCGTTTTGCTAAAAATCTCAGGTGTATAACGGGTATAACAGAAACGACCCCGATTTTCAACGTTCAGACCTGTGGACAGGAGTGTGGGTGACACCAGAAGATTACGGTTTATTATACCTACTGGTTTAATCAAGCCTACGTTTCCCAGAAGAACGTATTTCAGACAAAATTAATTGTAATAAACGTCACGTTTGTCTGTCGTGTGAAACGTCCGCCGAGTTTCACTAACCGCACCAGTTTTTTCATCAAATATGAATTCCAATTTTACACAATCTAATCAGGTACAAACTCAGCTTTAACGGCAATCCACCACGGACACAACTGAGTAAGGGATTATCGAACTAAGGGTTGAGTTTCAGGTAGTTTCCAAAGAGTACATTTTCAGAATTTTCAAAGATTAAGCGTAACCACGGTCGTCTGTGATTTACAGAAGATTGGTTACAATTTTGAACACATTTCCCCCAGCGTTTTCAAATGTCGAAAAGTAAATTTTTTTGAAGATGTATGAAATAACTTATTTGATGATTGTGCTCCATTTTGCCGTTGAACCATTTAACTCCAGTATCAACCGTATCGATCATACTCAGGCCTTTTCTCCGCACAGATCGATACACGTGGAACGGGGTCATGTTCACTCATGCAAAGACCTGATACAATGCGGAAATTCTCAGTATTTCTTATCTGTTGGTTGTTTGCTTGTGTTCAGTCCACGTGTGGTTTGCGGTTGAAATATCCGCAATGTGTTTGTTGCCGGTTGTATACTGAGTCTGACATATGGCGCACCGACAGCATTGCGCTTTCGGTTGCAAAAGTGCGCCACATGATAGACTATTGCAAGTACTATGCGGCTCAATCTTACCGTCAAACCACGTACCCACAGCCCATGTTCATCGATCGCATGCGCTTTATGAAGCATTTTGAGATTTTACTTCGTCGATAAATGCTGGAATCATAGAGAAATTCCAAATTTTGATTCTCCAATTGATATTAATTTCACAATTTTTCTACAATTTCTGTGTAAACCGAATCACTCAAAATATTGGGATTTGGTACAGTCATAATGCCACTTGTTACAGCACAAGAAAGCCAAGAGGATTTTAGTTATGTCCCTGATAAAATGGTTTTTGATACAAACCCTTTCCTTGGAGATGCGGAAAGCTGATATCACTAGAAGTACCGGATAGTCACTTTTAACAATTTAAATATCGAATAGTTGATAAGTTACACCCCGATAGATTTCTTTGAGATTTGAATTTTCTCGTCACCGAAGTTCACGTCATTACATTTAGCATACCAACTGTAGTAATCCAAATTGAGGTGAACCGCGAATTGGAAGCATGATCGTAGTGAAATCATGGAATCGTTCCGGTAATCGTCTACCGAAATGTACCGACGCCGATAGGCAAAGGAAGAAGACCACAGAAGTAGCTGTTGGTTAATTGAAAGAAATCAATCGGATCAAATGGTATGTGGAAAGACATATCATTGACAAGCCGCATTGCTTGCACAGTGTTTGCGTCTGATTCGTTGTCCTGAAACTGTAACGCGTAGCTTTTAGGCTGTCGTTAGCTCGGATAGTTGAATCATCACAACAACAAAATCGATCATCAGTATGACGGACTATCATCCACGGAGCCGATTTCATATTTTTGAATTTAAGTGCGCTGTAGGTCATAGTAGTTGACAGATACATGTGCACCACATTACCACCCAAGTGTAATGATTGCGGTTGCTTTAATTTAAGCAGCTCGTAAAACCCAATTTGTTTCTTGCTTAGCGGTCTTTGATTGCTTTTATTCTCAGTTATACTAATGTGGGTCAGACAGTACGCTACGAATAAACTGTGGTAATCGTTGACTTTCCCAGTTACTGAATCGACTGATGCATATATTTCCTTCATATTGGTTATCCTTTGCGGTATATCAGAAAATGTTACACACCTTCCTCACTTAATGGTAAGGAAACTATCCAGTCACGATTTTCTGATATCTTTCTAAGGCTCCTTCTGACTTTACTTGTGGAAATCGGTAAAGTGGGTGTATCTTGGTTAACCTGCATCGAACTTAGGATCAATAACTAATCAATTATATAACACAGTCCAACGTCAGTGCTAGTAAGAACGGAACCGGTTCATCATATTCTATTTTTTCCTTTCATGGAGGTTCGTGGGAATTCATCTTTCTTTGCTGAGTGAGGTGAAAACCGAAATGGCAAAAGCTGTTACTCTTTCCAGAATTCTTAGCAGTTACTAAAATCGATGATAATTTACCGAACCATAGAAAGGTCTTACTCCATCAATCAAGGGTCTGAGAAAGGTAAACTGGAAACTGAGAAAGGAAAACGTTTAGTTGGTCATGAATCGGGTATTAGTTTTAGTGTCGTCTAACCAGCGAAAATAGAACAAATTTAACCCAGAATTAAACGAATGATGGCAACAGTGCCAATTACCAACACGCAACTCATGAAGTACCGCTGTAGTAATCGGAATAGTATTGAATTTAGGAATACGAGAACCCGTAATGTACTGCTCAGAACTGAATTGGCTCTAACCTGAACTGCGAATACCAATGAAATACACGAGGAATTGATAGCAGCCAATGCTTATGTTTATTGATGGAATTAGACCATGTTTTATAGAATGTAGTAGTCCATATGATTGGTTGAACGAGCATCCTCTAATCACATAGCCATTTGCACCGACGTATCATATGTGCTAACTCGGATGTCATGTTCGCCCGGTGTACCATTGGTCGAGCTTCCTGAAAGGGGATTGGATGACATGAAGCTGTACCTAGTCGTGCATGGATTGTGGTCACGTATGTCTGGATCACCACAACTCTCTTCCCTCAAAAGTGCCTCGTCAATCTGGCTTGCCTGACGGCTAGACCTGCGGACTGCAATCGTTGGCCCCGCCTGTTCCTGGCGGTGTCCTTCTCTTTTGATTGGTAGTTTCTGCACATCTGACTGATGCGGCTCCGTCGGTTGTGCTGATGGGGTATGCAACTGACTATCTCCCTCGCTTGTCTCTTGATGTCGCTGGTCCGCGTCGCTTGTGCACAGTAGCATCATCCAAGTCGGTAATTTCCACCATGGCTTGGCCCA